CTCTGTTCTAGCCCAAGCAAAAGGTCTAAACTAGACACTCTGAGAAATAGCCCACTTTGGAGTCTGGAACTCCACGGAGGGGCCTGACCCAGTTCTGTGGCCCCCTCCCCCCTGAGCTGGGGACAGTCTCTCAACACAACTGCTTCTCAGTGTCTGGGCTGTGCAGAGAGGCCACGGTGAATGCCAGCAAGAGTGCTCCCACGGGGAGGGTGAACACAGCACCTGTAATTGGAATGGTTTTCCCAGGAATTTAAAACAGGCTCATTTACCTGACCCTCCCACAGACCCTGGAGAGCCCTGACCCACTTTCAGTGGCTCCAGAGAAAGCTGCTGCAGCGCCACATTAATAAAGTTATTACCCATGGCAGCTTGGGGGTCTCTCTGCTTGTCTGGTTCAACGTGTCAGACACACCACTGTCCAGATTTCCTCCTCACTTTGAGTCCCAGGGAAGGAAGAGCAGGAGAGGCAGGAGACTTGCGGCAGATGTGCGGGGTGGTTGGACGGGTGTGGGGAGGGCTGCAGCAGCCAGGAGATGGCAGGGCCACCAAGGACGAGGCTGCAGGGCCCCCCGAACACAGCAGCTGTTTGAAGGGGACACCAATGACCAGGAAGCGCCAGGAGACACTACTGGCCATGGCGCCTAGGGCGGGGGCAGGAACCACAGACTGGGGAGCACTGGGTTGGCGAAAGCCCAAGGTCACACAGCTAAGCTGAGGTGGGGTCTGGACCCAGGCCTGTGGTCAGTCACACGCTACACTGTGATGTCTATTTCCTCGAATACTAGAGTGAGGAAATGAATGTCTAAGGAGAGTATAGAATATGAAGAGGACCATGGAAATGCATGAAAATCTACACTCATTTCTGACTCACCCCACGTGTGCCGTGAAAAAGCCTACGGGTGCAGAGCCAAGTACCACATATCTGGCTTACATTTGTATGCCTGGAGTACTCTCCCCTGGCTAGCAAACTCCTACTCATCCTTCAAAGGCCCAGCCCCATTATCTACGTATAGAGTCTTCTTGTGTAGCCACTGGCTGATAATCTTTCTACACAGATGACAATTATGCTGTTGTCTCTTCTCCTGGACCAAGTCCAATGAGGGCTCTGCATCTATAAGGCTTAGTGCTTAGGGACTAGGAGGTACCCGTGGAAAGTTCCTTCAGTGCCTGTTCATGGTCAGGGGTTTGTGTGAGGAGAAGCAGTGGCTGGAAGGGGTCTTTGGGTACAGAATGAAAAAGCAGAGCACTAGGGGATTCCATTCGGCTACTCAGAGGGCAGCACTGCTCCTCATGTGCTGGGAACACTGCTGTGAACACCACAGTGGGCCTGGCTCTGGGACACAGCAGTGAACACAATAACCCCAGCTCTCATGGATGCAGGGAAGGGAAGGCAAAGTGAACTGCTACAGGCGTGCTGACTAAAAGAATCCCTGTAAGATGCTGTGGAACCATGTAATGGGAGGTGAGCCTAGCCCGATCCTCAGGGACCATTAGGTAAGGCTTTTTTAGAGATGGTGACATGCATGTGAGAAAAGGGTTTAAGGAAAGCACCCAGTGTTTCTGGCATAGAGAACAGCACGTGCAAAGCTGGCGAGCATCTTTCCTAGGGAAGATGGCTAGGGTGGCTGGAGGAGAGGGAGGGGACAGCCAGTGAGTCACCAGAACAAGCTTGGGCCATGTGGAACTGGTGGACCATGTGAGGGTCCTTGGACTTCTGAGGATAACAGGAAAAGTCAGATGGAATTTGGAAGGACGAAGTGACAATGACAATCTTGGCCCGTCACCTAAGTACTGCTCTCTACCAGGCCCTGTTCACATGCTTTACGTTCCTTACTTCCAGTCGGCTGCCCCTCAATGTGGCCCCACTCTTAGCCATTAGATGATGGTAGCCTGCATTAGGCCAGTGACATGAGACGGAAGCAGGAAGGACTGGAGAAAATCCCTGGGGCAGAGACTTAAGAGAACTGATGGGAACTAGCCATCGATGTGAGGGATAAGAACCACCATCCCCAACATTTTCAGTTTGAGCATCTGGGTAAATGGTGAAGGGCCTGGAGGTGCTGGGGGTTTTGACAATTCCATTTTGGGCAGCTTGACTTTCAGGTGTCCACATGACTGGACACTTGGGAAAGACTGTAGGTGTTGGATCGCCAAGTGAGGCCTGGCCCAGAGCCCCGGGCCTGGGTGACCTGGCAGAGGGTGAAGGGAGTGGTGATGGGTGGACCTGGGAGATGAAGAGTCAGCTCAGGGGCTGAAAGGACCGAGCTCACTCCTGACTGAGGAAGAGGACACAAAGCGCAGTGTGGCCAACTGGCTGAGCAACACCAGAGAGCATGCATGGCTGGGGGAAGCCCTGCCCCCTACCCTCGTGCCTGGGGCTTTATGAATGCTCACTCCCGAGTCAGTAAGCCAGGAGTCGCCCCCTAATCATCATCACTAAATTGGTCCGGCATTTCCGTTAACAGGACACTTTCATGCAGTGATCATATCTGAACCTCACCACAACTCTGAAACACTGCTGTCAATTCTGCTTTCAGAGGGAAGTGAGGTCACTGGCTCAAGGTCACACAGCCCCGTGAGAACAGTCAAAGGAGCTCACACCCAGGGCCTCTTTCCACTAAACAAAACTCCTCGCACATAAGGGACCCTTCCCAGAGAGACAGACTTCCTTGGCAGCATCAATACTGTCAACACAGTTGACAGCACTGATGTAGTTATAGGGAATTTGGTGAGGAGGTGGTTCTCAGATCTGTATGCACAAGGGCAAAGCGTGGTGCCAGCAGAGAGAGAGGTGATGGCTGGGTGGGGCCTGCTTGAGGGCTCTGCACACAGCAGATTCAGGAGGAGGCCTGCCACTTTCTCTGGCCATGCCGCCTGTCTGGGGACAGACTGGGGCCTGACAGTAGGGAACAAGGCTCCTCAGCCTGTTCCACCTTTCTGGGACACAACAAACAACCTATCGGCTCTCCTTCTGAAGTCCCCTCTCTTGCAAAAACACCTACCCAGAGAAGACCCAACACCCCTATAACTGGTTCATGCCAATAGTTAGGGAGCATCTGCCTTGTGTCCGGGGGCAGATGTACAAGAAAAAAACAGGGAAAGCATGGCCTCTGCCTTTACAGACCATCTGCTACTAGGATGACAAAGTCCAAGGTGATACTGGAACACAGAGCTGCCTAACGGAGGGGGGCGGGACTGGGCCTCTGGGAGAGGGAGATCTCAAGGCTGAATGGGAACCGTCCAGACCCAGGGGGAAGATGAAAAGAGGACGGAAGCAGGATGTTTTCTAGGTATTCAGCGGCTCAGCCTTCTGGCTCCAGGCCATTTTCAGTTCTAGGATGCACAAGCCATGGTTCCCCATCCTCCTGGTGTTCAGTCTACAGAAGATGGGGAAGCAGCTCTATTATAAATCAGTAACTAGAGCTCAGTGGAAAACTCCCAGACAGACATGCCCAGGGATTAATGGGAATGTAACGCAAGCACCCAACTCCCCAGGGATGGGGATAGGTGGCCCATCAGGCAAGTCTTCTTGGAATGGACACTCAAGCCAAATCCTGAAGACAGTGTGTCAGCCAGGCAAGAGGAGCCTGGGGGTGGGGGGTGGGGGGCCAGCCAGGCAGAGGGAATAGGTGTGGGGAAGGCAGTGGGCAGAATGAGGCTCCCTGTCCTGGCTGAAGCAGGTGGCAAGGAGATTGCTAATGGGCCACAGGCTTGTACAGTGTGGGCCAGACGTGGTAGACAGATGGGTTCATCCAGTAAGACTGGCGCCCCTTCCACGGCAGACAGTAACAAGAGAGACGCACAATGGAAATAACTTTCAGGTTTCTATGAGCAAATCAGGTCAGGGAGTGCTGCACTTCCTCTGATGGAACATGCATTTAAAAGGTAAAATGAAAAAAGTCACTAAGTCCTAGAACCGGAAAAGCAAACTCCATGCAGTCCTCCTCTGGAAACAGAACCCCCTGGTGGATGCAAATCTTTCAGTGAGTCATGTTCAGAAAGCTTTGATTTTCTGGGCCAAGAGCAAATCAGGAGAGAGAGTCAGACAGACAACAGCTCCTCCTTTCCTAGGCTGTCAGAGATTGGAGGTGAGCCAGGCATTCAGACCTCTGCCTGAGGGGCTTGTGGGGTGGGCACCAGGGGTCCCCTCACCTGATACTGGCTCCAGTCAATATTCAGAGAGCAAGTCAGGAAGTCAGGGATGCTCAGAGGGGCATCGACGTAGTCCTGGGGACAGAAAGACACTGTGAGAGACAGTGTGAAAGACACAGGCTGGCCACCAGGAGACGCTATGGTGACAGGCAGAGACCCTGAAGTTGTGGCTACCATGAGCAGGCAGGGTGTCCCCCCCCCTCCCCCGACAGTGCTTGCCTTCTCTGAGCCAGATGCCTGGGCGACCCTGAGAAGGAAAGCTTAAAAAATCAAAGGGACCAGATATCACTGCCGAGTGGAGTTTTTCAGTTGACCATCTGAGTGTTTGCTGCTGAGACAGAGGTGATGGGCTGGAATCAGCCTCCAGCAGCTCCTGAGCTACTGCCAGCCACTGGGGAGGACCAGAAGGCTGCCCTTCTTCCCACAGAAGGTGGTGAAGCAAAGATGAAGCGCCTCTCCTACCATGTCCCTGAAAAGTTTTTTAAAGAAAGGGAGAAACTAAAGGGGGAGAGAAAACACTATGTGATAAGAATTTAAACATGTATATATAAGGAGAAGAGGGAGAAAAAAAAAAATGAGACTCATTCAGGGAAGAGAAAAGAAATGAAAAGGGTAGCTGTTTTCCCCTCAAAATTTTCTAGCTGGTTTCCCTTCACAAAGGAACAGAAGACCCAAGCTGACAAGTGGTACTGTTCATACCTGCTTCCAGTTAAAAATGAGCCCTTCAGCCATGTAATCCCGATCCTTATATTCCTTGAAAAATTCACAGCCTGGAAAAGAAGGGCAGAGTTACAACACCACTCTTCCTGGCCCAGTGTCCTGAGACGCCCCTGGGTGCTGGAGGACCAAGGTGGCCACCAGCTGACACGAGCTGGGACTGGACTGGGTGGGCGGGCACCTCCGATGCCCCTCCAGTTTCCAGTCACAGACCCTTCCTGATGAGACCCGCTTGCCTGCACACCTCTCTCTCCATCTGTGCTCAGTGGCTGCTGGTCACCTCTCCTTTCATTTCAGGTTCCTCTATGTACCCCTGAAGTGCCAACAACCAGAGGACAAAAGCGGGGCTTACAATTTGAACCCTGGCAGCACTTTCTCAGCAACTTATCTAGTCACATAAGATCACCCTGCTCCTACTCCAATAAAGCAAATACTGCAATAACGCAAGCCATGCAAATCTTTTGGTTTCCCAATACACATTAAAGCCATGCTTATACTATATTATAGTCTATTAAATGAGATTACATGATGTCTAAAAAAACCAATATACCTTAAATATAAAAAATACTTGAGGGAATTTCCTGGAGGTTCAGTGGCTAGGACTCAAGGTTACTGCCGTGGGCCCAGTTCAACACCTGGTTGGGGAACCAACAACCTGCAAGCCACGTGGTGTGGCCAAAAAAAAAAAAAAAAAGCTTTATTCCTAAAAATTGCTGACCAAAATCTAAGCCTACAATGAGTTGGAACAGTAAAGTCAAAGATCGCTGATCACACATTACCATAACAAATGTAGTAATGATGAAAAATTTTGAAGTACTATGAAAGCTATCAAAATGGGACAAAGAGAAATGAAGTAAACAAATGTTGGGAAAATGGTTCCAACAGACTTGATGCAGGGTTCCCACAAACATTCAGTTTATAGAAGATGTAATATGTAAAGAGTAATAAATTGAAGAGCAGGAAAATGAGGTCTGCCTACAGCAGGCCCACAGGCTTTCAGTGAGGACTGAGCATTGTAACATGCAGGGAAGGACCATGGACAGTGTCTGAAACGGGACAGGGGCTCCAGACACATGCCCATCTTGACAAGCGAAACGCTCTAAGAACCACCACCAAGGTAAGACCTCAGGAATCGAGAGAAAATGAGTGAAAAGGGCCTTGCCAACGTTCCCAGCCTCAAGCGTCAGCCTTTAGCTTAGCTCTGTGACCATGAACAAGTTACCTTCTCTCAGCCTTGACTTTCTCATTCGTCAAGTGGTTAAGAATAAAATGGAATAACACACAGACCACCTGGCACAGCACTGACAGCCCTCAGGCGACAGCAGACTGGGGCCACTTTTCTGTTGAAGCCGAAGCCAAGAGCCCCAACGCAGCCCTGCGGCTCGATCCAGGGGGGATGAGGCCTGCCCTCACCACGCGGCCAGGACGGCCAGGGCCAGGGGGTTGGCGGGAGGCTTCCTGCATTCCTCTCAGGTCCTCTGCTGGAGCCAACACAAACTCTGAAGGACATAAGCCTTTGGCCACAGGTCCAAGTCTGCGGAGGTCCCCAAAGGCAACAGAACAACTGCCTGAATTCTGTCAAGGTAGCCACAGGCCATCAACATTCTCAGGGAACTCTCCAGCTCCTTGGGCCACGCTCAGCCTGAGGTCACCCCAGGGAACAAAGGAAAGGTTCCTCTCAAGGGAAAAATCTGGAGACCAAGCCCCTGTGTCCTGGAGACGTGGCTCTTATCCACCCCCCACCTCTGCCCTCCTTCACTCTAAGTCCCCATGCCCCTCTGTAGACGGGGAAGTCAGGCAACAATACTCAGCCCTAACACTTCAGCCTATTCCTGGGTGCCTCACTGGGAGAAAGAAGAAATATAAATATCAGACAGAGGCCGTGAGCTTATCAGCCCAGGCTTAGAAGAGACACCAATTATTCCTCAGAGCTCTCGTGAAGGGCTCTGCTTTCTCAGACTCAAGCACTCAAATCAACACTGCAGGCTCCAGGCCCAGCTCTGAGCAGCGTGTGATACAGAAGCAACTGACTGTGAGAAATGGAGGGAATTAAAACAGCCTCGGTACCCAGGGCAAGGCCTGACATTCATTACCTCAGTGGGCTTCTGAGCCTGTTGAGAGGCAAAGGGATGGACCCAAAAGAGAAGAGAGAGTAGGCGCTCACTCAAGAAGGAAACAAATTAGACTTGTGCTCGGGAGTTTTTAGCCCCATCTATTTTGGGGCCTGAGGGAAGTGCTCCCAGAACACTTCTCATTTTCAAGGGCCAGTTGAAGCCTAAGTTAGTCTAACAGAGAACTGATACCACCACAGTTCCTGTCTGGGCTTCAAACTCATTAGAGGGGCTTAACAGAGACCCCCAAAATGGCAGCAGAGCGCATTTCAGGACCTGGTCTGGATAATGTTAATTTTGTTATGAAGTAACATAGGCAGATGAAGAAATTCAAGACCATAAGCACAAGAAGTAAAAGGTGCTTCTCCTGTGCCCTCACATGGCATCTCCCCCACCCCAGGCTTCTGAATTTTTATTGATTACCCACCCCCCCTTACTCTCCCCTCAACACACACACATGACTATCAGATCCAGTCCATGATATTCTGGGAAAAGGGAAGAAAATTCAGAGATAAATAGTATCATCTTACCATTTTGGCGTATTTCTTTCTTAACCTTTGTATAAGCACTTTTCCTCTCACACAGTTGAGATTTTACTATTTCATTTTGTATTGTGCTTATTATGAGCGCCTTAAGCATTTTTCTATGACTGTGTAGTATCTCATTCTACAATACTATGGGTGGCTGTGCTGTCATTTACGTAATTGTTATTCTGATTAATGAAAACATTACCCATGTTTGGCTGGGTGTAAATGGACATGATGAGGGACCTCCCTTGGTGGTCCAGTGGTTAAAACTCTGCCTTCCAATGCAGGGGCATGGGTTCAATCTCTGCTTGGGGAACTAACATGCTGTGTGGCAAAAAAAATAAACTCATGTGATGAACATCTGCGGGCCAGGCTGGCTGGATTACAGCCTAATGAATAACTGGGTCAAATGGTGTTAGTTTCAGGAGTCTTATAACAAGTTGCCCAATGACAGCAGAAAGGATATTGTGCCACTGTTTTGGAGCTAAACAATTTTTTCTAAACCAAGTCCTACTGAGAACCTGAATACAAATACAGAAAGCTGACACCTGGGTCCTTAGCCAACACAGAGCTCTCCCATTAGGCAGAGTACTTCAGTCTGGGGACCCCGAAGCATCTCCTGAGAATGGGGAGCCTGGTCTGAAAACCAACCTGAAAACTACACTATGGAAGCCCTCATGCAGACCCCCAGGTGGGACGTCTTCTTGACAGCTCTGATGTTGCCAAGCCCACGGCATCACTATTAACAGTTCAGCATCTGCCCAAAACAAGCCTTTCCTCCCATGCACCCGTCATTCAGCCCAGTGTCAGCGAGCACCGGTCAGGTCTGGACCTGGCACATCACCCAGAAATAAACAGCGTTATCCTCATTTATCCTCGGAAGGGTTAGGGGACTTGTTCAAGGACACAGTGCTGCAGCTGAGATGCACGCCCAGTCCTACAAGCCACCACATGCTGAGCTGGCAGAGAAGAGGGAGGAGAGTCCCTGAATGAGGCCAGAGTGAGACAGCCAGGCCACTGGCAGTCGTGGTTCAGGTACCGCCAGCTCACACTGATGAGGATACCCTCTGAACACCAGGCACCAGATAAACCTGAGTTTCTAGAGAAAGACTTGTGGCAAGACAGCAACCTGGGGTCACCAGTCTGCTCTTGCCATTGGCCCCATGGCTCCAAGATGAAGAGACAAGATCCAGCACAGGACCGAAGGCAGGGCTGGTGTTGAGGAGCAGGAGAGAGGTTTTAAGGACAATGAGTTCACTTTTTGCTGTCTGTTCACAAAGTCTGGCGCTGAGGTTAGGGCTCTCTTACCTCCTTGAACAAGCAGGTGTTGCTAGAAGGCTACAATGCTACCAATGGACCCATGCAGTGTAGAGAACACTGCCCTGGCTACAGATTGCATACAGTCTGTGCCAGAGACACATGCAGCCAGCTGTGTGCTCACCACAGAGCTCTGCAAAGTGGGTGCAACTGAGGACAGAGCGCTAACGTCACCATAGCCAGCACGGCACAACTGGTGGCTGACCCCAAGAACAACACGTTAGTGGCACAGAGCACGCTGATCAACCTGACCTCACCTAATCCGACAAGACCCTGAGCTAAGCCTCACCAACTTCCAGTGATGCTTGAGAAAACCTGGGACTGGCACGGTGAAGGACTCGCTCAAGGGTGCAGGAGGCTGGGTCTGAGTCTGGACTCCATCCCTGGGCCCCTCCCAGGGCAAACCCGTGCCAGGACAGTGTCCTACCCTAAGCTGAGAGCCAAGGATCGGGAACCACACTGTCCCACACTGAGCGACAGTGCATGCTACCGGGGAGCTCCAGGGCACCTGAGCAGCCAGTGCCTGCAGGTGGCCGCAAGAGCCCCAGTCCTAGGAAGCCTGTCCCCTGACCAGACCCTGGAAGGAGCCCCTACCTGGATATGGGATGGAGAGGAGAGTGAAGTCGGCATAGCGCTGTGCTTTGTCCACCTTCTCGGAGGAGGTAACACTACAAGACAGGACACAACGTGTTACAGCATCACAACCCATGCATGCCAGTCCCCACAAGCACCACCACAGCCTCAGACACCCCTCCTGCCACAGAAACCTCTCTCCAAGCTGGGATGAGGCCCTTCAGCCAGGCTTACTTTGAACAATTATGAACGGGACCTCTCTGCTGCCTACCCGAAGTCACCAGGTGAGAGCGCTGACTCTCCCCGATACCACAGCACCTGTGGTGGGACCTGAAGCCACAGAACCCCAATGTTTATAAGCCTCCCAGATGAAGGAAGCACAGCCGCCCTGAGAGTGCAGAGAGAAAAGAGCACAACCACTGAGATGCTGTTCAGCAGGGGCCCTGAGGGGGACTCTCCTCTCCACCGTCTTCTCCAGCATCGGGCGAGGATGCTCCCGCAGCATCTGACAGACAGAGGACTACTCTGACAGGGGGACCTACAGACAGCTGAGCTGTAACTTAGCCTTAGCGTGGTTTATCTTCTAAGATAAACATGGCATAACTAAAGGTCAGTTTTATAAAAAAAAATAAACAAGCAACACTTTGGGAAAATTCCGCAAATTCATCACCCCAACCTAGACTCCATTTTTTCTCATTTTTCTTTGTCTTCTGAACACTTGGTCCGTACAGCATATAAAAATTGAGTGACTACTGATTTTCTGGATCCACCTTATTTTTTTAGATCCACTTTAAAAGAGATACTAATCCACCAGAGATGGCGGAGCGGCAGCAGAGTACGCGAGACGTTGGCGGCTCCCCCGGTGCCTACTGGACCACCCCGAGCAAGTGAGTTAACCTCTGTGGCTTGTTTCTCCCCTGCAGGAGGGGGACAAGAGAACCTCCTCATAGGGAGGGCTGTGCGAGGATACAGGAAGAGGGTGCTCAAGGCCTGGCACCCAGTGTGCCCTGGTGACTGCTTTGCACCATCCCCGAGCCCACGAGCCTGTGAAGACATGGCCTCCACCCACTTGGAGCAGGGTGCCCTGCACTCACTTCATGCCAAACTTCACCTTCTTGTTCTCCACCATCAGGTCACAGATGTACTTGACTGACAGGTACCGGAGCAGCTTGATGTCATAGCCTCTGACCTTATCAAAGAGATGCGTGTCGGAACTTCTGAAACAAGACAGCCAGAGGGAGAAGCTGCACTAAGTGTCCATTCCCAGAAGTCCAGGAGCTACAGGAGCACTTCTGTTTCCCTCCTCCAGGAGAGGGCGGCTGGGAGGGCCAGACAGGACAGCGGTCCCAGTGAAGGTGAGGGAAGGTGACTTTCCAAGAGATTATCCTGCTCTCTGGGACACATTTCAAAGAGAAGCAATATGCAGCTGGAGCGGGAAAGGGCTTTCTGGTGCTGCTTGACATTAAGCCAGAAGACTCAAGATAATCTCTGAGTTCTAAAAAGCAGCAGGCTGGTGGCTGATTGAGTCTCTGAGCTTCCATTAGAGTTTATCTCTCTCTACCATCCTCCCTCTCCCCCATTTATTACCATTTTTAGCCATATGACTTGCTCAAAATGTAACAGATTGGAATTCTCATTGGGAGATGGACTTTTTAGAGCTATTTTATCAACTGATTGTAAAATACTAGCAAGTGAATTCCCTCTGCTTAGAAGGCCTCTGAAACAAGGAGAAAGATGAAATTTTCCTAATCTCCAGGCTGCCTTCTGATCAGTCATACAGATAAAGGCAAAAGTAGAACAAATAAACAGTCACCGTTAATTTATTTTTTTAATGCCCACTGCTTTGCTGAACCCAGCAGATGCCTCGCCAAGAACAGTGCGCAATGTGGAAGACGGCCTGGCTGGGGCAGAGGTCGTCTGATCTCGGGGGAAGAGCCAAACATTCCTGTGTGCAAGCCAGAGCCACTGCTCGTGGAACCAGCAGGCAGAAGCTGGGCACAGCAAGATGCCTTTTCAAGCTCCGAGCCGTGATTCTGGGCAGCTGATCTGACTAGGGTGCTGATGTGCATTCCAGAGATGCCTGACACCAGTTAAAGACTTTCCATGTGGCACAGACCATGCAAAGGAGCTTTTCCAAAACACCATTACTGTCATTTTCTACAAAGTATTTAGAAAGGAGGTAGGAAGACTGGGAGCCAGCCCCCTCCCTCCCTTTTGGGGACCTAAAGCACTCCTCTGTGTTGTACTCCCTTATGGCACCAGTCACGCAGCTGCGGAACTCCTGGTGCCCGCATTGCCGATGTGCTGACCACAGTCCCCAGGCCAGGTGTGTCCGGCATCACCTGGTAGGCCGGACGTCAACATCCTGGAAACTATGGGGCTTGAAGACACACAGGTGTCTGCGCCATGTCTTGGGCCTGCAGTGCCAGGAACCCCAGGACTGGAGCACTCCCTCTGGGGTCCTGGTGAGCAGCCAGGATAAAGAGAGACTGCTCAGGTAGTTCATAAAGTCAGCTGCAGTGAGGCTACAGGGCGGACTTCAGTCACTCTGTTTCAGGGACGTGGACGAAGGAAGCCAATCCACTCACCTGGACCACTGATAATGTCACGGCCAACAGCTGGAAACGGCCACCACTGGTCACATACCTGCCCCTCACCCATGCCCAGACCCATAACTGCCTGGCACTGACCGAACAGCACAGTCCTCCTCCGTGAGATCCTCGGCATCTGCCCAGGCGTCGTCTGCACCCCCTGTGGGAGGAACCTGCGGTCAGCACTTGGGGTGTGACAGGGGCTCCATGCAAGGGCTGCTTGACCCCTGGTTCCACCCCAAGGACCACGCTCCTCCCTTTTCCAGGACCTGATGCCCCACATGCCTGGCATTCTTCTCACCACAAGCATCTTCTCAGGTGATGAAGGGAGGGGCTCTAGACGTCCCTGCCCCCGCCCCAGGTTGCTGCCCATCCCCACAACCACCACCACCGCTGTGGCCCTGGGTAGCTATTCTCCACGGCTGGGCTCCTGTTCTTAGTCACAGAGGCTGCAGCTCAAGGCTCACCTGAGAAAATATAGTTGTAGCCAGTGCGTCCATACAGCTCCCCCCATCCAGCCAGTGTGGCTGACCTGCAAATGTGCTGGAAGAGAAATCACATTTTCAGGGTCAGATGGTTTTCTGGAGTTTTTTGGTTCTACTTTTCCCTGCTTTCTTGAAATATAATTGACCCATGACATTGTGTAAGTTTAAGGTGCACAACAAGCTGATTTGCATCACTAACATACTGCAAAACCATTACCACCACAGAGTCAGCTAACACCTGCATCAGGTCACGTAATTACCATTTCTTTTTTTGTGTGGTGGAAACATTTAAGACCATCTCTCTCTACAACTTTTAGGTATATGATACAGCATTATTAACTATAACAACCATGCTGTACATCAGACTCTCAGATCTTATTCATCTTGCAACTGGAAATTTGTATCCTCTGACCAACAGTCAGGTGGTTTTCTGAAGTGCACACAGTAGGGGGAAGCCCTGGAACTCTTCTGATCATTCCAGACCAGCAGAATGGGTGCAGGAGTGCTGCCCAAAGTCTTCTCAGCATCAGGGCCACTGCGACAGCAGTCTCTCTGAAGCAAGCCTAGATTTTAAGCTATAGCCTCTGTCAAGGGGTTCTCACTCCCAAACGAGAGGTACCAGAGTGTCACTAATGGTAATGGGTAGATTCAGTGGTTGTCATGTGTAAGTGGTCTTACCTGGGTTAAGACCTGGTGATTATCACATGTGCATGTCAGTATGTCAGTGAAACACAAGCACCACCTTTCCACTGGGTTTTCACAAGCCCATGAGGGAAGAGTGGCTGACTGCAGGCACTGCTGCTGCGTCACAGATGAAAAGAGTGACGGGCGCAGGGAGATGAAGCAGTGCCTGAGATCCCACAGTGAGGAGTGAGCTGGGATCTGACCGAACCCACCTCCCTCCAGAGCCTGTGTGCTGTCACTGCAACTGTTTAGCGCAGGGAAGGGAAACTTTGGAGCAGGAGGGTCAATTAAGGGAGAAACGTTTGGGGGCTTTTTTTTTTAAAGAAATTTTGCCTTCTCTTTCCTATGTACTAAAGGAATGTAGTAACTGGAACTGTGCTTAACTATGCTTTTACTCTTTGCTCATCACTGAAGCAGCATTTCAAGAGCTAGAACTCTAGAAACCAGGCAACAGGTGTGAACTTCATTGTCTAATTTTTTAAAAAAGTTTATTTGGCTGTGTCAGGTCCCAGTTGCTCTGCCGTGTGTGGGATTTCAACTTCCAGACCAGGGACTGAACCCATGTCCGCTGCATTGCATGGCAGATTCTTAACCACTGGATCACCAGGGAAGCCTCTCACTATCTGATTCTAAGACTGAATCTTTAAAAATTGTGTTTGATGAGATCCAAGAGGGGTGGGGGAATGGGAAGAGGTATCTGGGATCTGGTGACCCCAGGGTTTAGCTACAGGCTGAGGAAGGCAGTGAGGGTGGCTGGGAGATTAAACTGGGGGAGGGGAGAAATTTCTGACTGGGTCATGCGGGCTGGCAGTATAAGGAGGGTCCCTGGAAGACTGTAGAATATTGCTAGAGGGCGTCTCCTTCTCCACCTGTAAGACAGTGGGGAAGAAACAGTTTTGCTGCCACAGGAAAGGGGCATGGTAGGAACTGGCAGGTCATCACTGGCAGCTTAGGACAGGGGGCAAATGATAGAAGAGCAAGCTGCTACAATCCGGGGGGCGCTTTGCCAGTGCTGGGACAGAACGCATTTGAGGTAGGGCTGTCCTGGAAGCCTGTAAAGAAGGGCTTGGGCAGAGTCCTGCTAGCCTGAGCAGAATGCACTCCACGAGGGAATGTTTCACTTTCTCTGGGTCCAAAAGGATTCTGCAAATCTGATGACAATGACAAACTGTCTCCAGATAAAAACGTACACGCCAGAGTTTACCTATAGCTCCAAGTTCACCCACAGATCCCTCTCCAGCCTCAAATAACATCCTCTACTCGGAAGAGACCAGCCTAGTAATGAGAAGTTGCAGCAATGGAGTGTCCATTTGCAGGCTGAGGATCCTCAAGATTCCAGTGGTATTGGGGGAGGTCTGATTCACGAGCAAACAAGTGGGGCAGGGGGTGGTTGTTTGAGTTTGGCCAGCACATGTTACCATGTCCCCCTCCCCCATCATCCAAGCTGTGGCACCAAATCTCACTCTTCTTTCCATTATTTCTATTAAATCTTTTTCAGGCAGACACACATCCCCTCTTGAGCTGTTGAGCTCAGAGCTCTTCTCAAGGCTCAGATTCTTCTTTCTGCTCCCCAATTTCCCCAAATCCCCTCGATCCATCCCTGTTTTTTTGGTCACAGAGGCAGCCACACCCAGCCCAGGGGACTCATCAGGTCGGGGACGATGGGCGACTGGCTGGCTTCCCAAGTGAAGCACCAACCTCCACAGGAAGGTCCTGAGAACTGGAGTCTGGGGGAAGCCGTACCCCACGGGTGGGTCCATGCCTGACCTTGCTCCCGGGCTTCACGGCTCCAATGCACAGCCCACCAATTCCATACTTTAAGCTTAGCTCTTCACTGAGAAAGCAGGATACACTCTGAAAGCTATCCATTTACCTAATCAGGAGTGACCTCTAATGTTGCATGAGGAAGATCGCTCTGTAGGATTTGTAAATGTAGTACCAACTTTGGCATGCAGAATAAAAGCAGCTGATCTCTGCTCCCCATTTCTTAAGGGAGGAAACAGAGAGAAAGAGGAGCTGTTCCAATTTTAATTGCCTAAAAACCAGATACAAGTGATGGGGAAGAAAATGGCACATGAGAACAGCTTACTCTTAAATACTTGAACTGAGTTTTATTAAAAAATTAATAATATATCTTATTTAAAGCCTATATGTCCCTAGATATTACTATGTCAACATATAATCACTTTTTAAATTATTAGTATTTTACATTTTTTTGGATTAAGTCTTTAAAATCCAACATGTATTTTATAATTACAGCACATCTCAAATAGGATGATTTTCAGTGTTTAAAGGGTAATGTAGTCCTACCTCAAAAGAAAATTGTGTTTAATCAAAAAAATTTCTACATTGCTTCAATTATAAAATGGAAATTAATTGAAATGAAACAAAATCAGACGTTTAGTTCCTAAGCTGCACTAGCCACAATGGACTGAGTTTGGAAGGAAGCAGGAAGTTGGCACTTCTGAGCATACATTCCCCGGCCCAGCTTGGCTGGGTATGTTGACAGAAAACGCTGCTGTCACCAAACTCGTTAGGGCCTGCTGGGAGACCCACCTGAGGACAAGATGCCCACCTCACAACAGAAGACCCTCTCCTGTTCTTCCTCATCTCCTGATCCTCAAGTTCATAGCTCTGCCTTCCCCACTCACTGAGCTCCAGGGTGACAAGACTGTCTCAGTCACCTGTCCCCCTAGAACCCAGCACAGAGCCCACTACTGTGTAACCCAAGAGCAGTGTCTTCCTAGAGAGCTTGCCCACACCAGCTGGGTGGGCAGCTGCTAGACAGTGGGAGGACAGCAGTAATAAGACACGGCTTCTGGACTCACAGGGATTACGGCAGAGAGGAGACAGCAGATTTTCAAACACAAGAGGAATAAAATGCATGTAAGTAGGTATTAAGCCAGTGAACATGACGGAGTCAGGGGAAGCTACAGGGAACACAATGGGATCACATCAACAGACAAGAAGGTGCAAATGGAGAAGAAAGCAGGATGAATGGTGAAGCCCTTAAGTGTCAAAGCCTCCTCAAAACAATACCACCCTTGCCCCCAACAAAGGAATCTGCTGGCAGTCCAGCAGGTAGAGCTCTTATGCTCTCACTGTCGATCAGGCCTGGGTTTGATCCCTGGCTGGGAAACTAAGATCCCACAAGCCTTGGGGTACAGCAAAAAAAAGAAAAGAATAATCCCTCCAACTCTTCACCCTCCCTCTGAAATGTGTTGCCTTGGGGCTCTTTCTCTCAGTCTCACCGAAATTTCCCAAGTGCATTCTGGAAACTCCCTCCTCAAGGTCTGCAGAGTGAGAAAGAACAGACCTGACAACACCACACAGATTCCTCTGCTTCAGGACTTCTTAGAGCCTTTCCTACACTGACATATGCTTACCAATGTATCTCCTGAATCTGGAGCTCGGGGGTCAGGGTGAATCTAGGGTGCAATGTCTCTCAATCTTATTTGAGAGGGAATGCTTTGCACAAGCGTATCCTTAAACTACTGTTCTATGGAACACACTGTGGGAAGCACTGGTTTGAGTATTTCCTACATAATTTCTAGTGACAAACACTATGATCCACATAGCAATTACCTAAACTGGAGGTGTCAGAGCTTAGAGCAACACGAAATTTTCCAAAGGGGGAAGGGAGAATAAATAAGCTTTAAGATGATCAATTTCTGGAACTTCACTCCCAGACATACTTTCCCCTAAAACAGACCAACTCTATGAAGTCTGTGGCTTCCTGACTCACCTGTCACATTTGCCCTTCTTCCACTTTACGAAAGAAAGGCACAGAGGAGAGCAAACAGACTTACCCTATGAAAGTCTGTGGCTGTTTCTCCTTTCCTATCTCCTCTTGTCACATGAAGGCACAAAAGCAGAGGAATCAGTCTAGCATTTCTCTTTCCCACTGCCCTGCCCCAGCCCTTGCCTTCATGCTGGGAGAATGGACTAAAGTCCCAGAGGTGCCAGGACCATAGCACACGCAGGTGCCTACCAGATGAACAGAATAGGGGGCAGACATTTCTGCTCTCCTCCCCTCCTCCAAGCTAGTAGTCTGCTTCTTCTAGATTAATCTTTCTCAAAATGATATTTGTATCCTGTATTTCCCTGCCCAGAAATCACAGAGGCTTGTCTGGCAAATGTAAACACCTCAGCCAGCATCGAGCCTCCTGCATTCAGTCCCTTCTAACCTCAGCTCCGCCACTTACTTCCACTCCCATGAGGTAGTCTCCCAGTCTGTCGATCAGGCCTGGGTTTGATCCCTGGCTGGGAAACTAAGATCCCACAAGCCTTGGGGTACAGCAAAAAAAAGAAAAGAATAATCCCTCCAACTCTTCACCCTCCCTCTGAAATGTGTTGCCTTGGGGCTCTTTCTCTCAGTCTCACCGAAATTTCCCAAGTGCATTCTGGAAACTCCCTCCTCAAGGTCTGCAGAGTGAGAAAGAACAGACCTGACAACACCACACAGATTCCTCTGCTTTAGGACTTCTTAGAGCCTTTCCTACACTGACATATGCTTACCAATGTATCTCCTGAATCTGGAGCTCGGGGGTCAGGGTGAATCTAGGGTGCAATGTCTCTCAATCTTATTTGAGAGGGAATGCTTTGCACAAGCGTATCCTTAAACTACTGTTCTATGGAACACACTGTGGGAAGCACTGGTTTGAGTATTTCCTACATAATTTCTAGTGACAAACACTATGATCCACATAGCAATTACCTAAACTGGAGGTGTCAGAGCTTAGAGCAACACGAAATTTTCCAAAGGGGGAAGGGAGAATAAATAAGCTTTAAGATGATCAATTTCTGGAACTTCACTCCCAGACATACTTTCCCCTAAAACAGACCAACTCTATGAAGTCTGTGGCTTCCTGACTCACCTGTCACATTTGCCCTTCTTCCACTTTACGAAAGAAAGGCACAGAGGAGAGCAAACAGACTTACCCTATGAAAGTCTGTGGCTGTTTCTCCTTTCCTATCTCCTCTTGTCACATGAAGGCACAAAAGCAGAGGAATCAGTCTAGCATTTCTCTTTCCCACTGCCCTGCCCCAGCCCTTGCCTTCATGCTGGGAGAATGGACTAAAGTCCCAGAGGTGCCAGGACCATAGCACACGCAGGTGCCTACCAGATGAACAGAATAGGGGGCAGACATTTCTGCTCTCCTCCCCTCCTCCAAGCTAGTAGTCTGCTTCTTCTAGATTAATCTTTCTCAAAATGATATTTGTATCCTGTATTTCCCTGCCCAGAAATCACAGAGGCTTGTCTGGCAAATGTAAACACCTCAGCCAGCATCGAGCCTCCTGCATTCAGTCCCTTCTAACCTCAGCTCCGCCACTTACTTCCACTCCCATGAGGTAGTCTCCCAGGCTTTCTCATGCCTGCCTCACTGTAAGCCCCCAGGCAGGCACCTGCCTGGAATACCCTCCCACTCTTCTTCCAAAGCTTGTAGCCTAGTTCCACTCACTTAATGAGGCCATGCCTGTCAGTCCACACTACTGCCCATCTTGGTGGGTTCCTCTGATACCACACTATGTGGCCCTAAGCTACAGTGTAGTAACTTGAGGGCATTTTGCAGTAAGTTTAAATCTCAGCTCTCAAGTTGTGTAAAGTAAACTTAGGGAAATTATTTAACCACTTTGAGCCTTCATTTCATCTGCAAAATGGGAATATCTAATACATCAAAGGATTATAAAAATAGGTGAATGAGACCCTATTTGGGTACCAAATTAACAACACTCAATAGAATATAAGCTTGATAAGGGTGCAAATTTTTGTTTATCATATATGCTGAGGTACCTTAAGACCTGAATATGGTACATAAATAAATATCTGGTAAATTACACTACTGAAAGAATGGACAAACAACTTATCTGATCTAATCTATTCATAAACTTGTGATGTAGGCATGATTATTTTGTCCATTTGACAGAGGAGTAAATGGAGGTCTTGCACAGGCAGGAAGCAGCAGAGTCGGGATCAGAGCCTAGGTAGCAGGGCTCTAGGACACAGGGTAGAGTCCTCCGCTGTGACATCCCTTTCCTACCTAGACTCACCCTTGAAAAAAGAGGCATTGGAATTGGTCTTATTCTCTGGCCTGCTTCCCACCACACCAGGCACCCGGTAACCACCCAAACTTGCCTGGCAACAAGACAACTGTCAGTTTAGTTCAGTTCAGTCGCTCAGTCGTGTCCAACTCTTTGCAACCCCACGGATTGCAGCACACCAGGCCTCCCTGTCCATCACCAACTCCTGGAGTTTACTCAAACTCATGTCCATTGAGTCGGATGCCATCCAAGCATCTCATCCTCTGTCATCCCCTTCTCCTCCTGCCTTCAATCTTTCCCAGCATCAGAGTCTTTTCAAATGAGTCAGCTCTTCGCATCAGGTGGCCAAAGTATTGGAGTTTCAGCTTCAACATCAGTCCTTCCAGTGAATATTCAGGACTGATTTCCTTCAGGATGGACTGGTTGAATCTCCTTGTAGTCCAAGGGACTCTCAAGAGTCTTCTCCAATACCACAGTTCAAAACCATCAATTGTTTGGTGCTCAGCTTTCTTTATAGTCCAACTCTCACATCCACATGACTATTGGAAAAACCATAGCCTTGATTAGACGGACCTTTGTTGACAAAGTAACGTCTCTGCTTTTTAATATGTAGTCTANAAGCAGAAATATATGTTTTTCTGGACCTCTCTTGCTTTTTCGATGATCCAGGAGATGTTGGCAATTTGATCTCTGGTTCCTCTGCCTTTTCTAAAACCAGCTTGAACATCTGGAAGTTCACTGTTCACGTACTGTTGAAGCCTGGCTTGGAGAATTTTGAGCATTACTTTACTAGCATGGGAGATAAGTGCAATTGTATGGTAGTTTGAGCTCTCGTTGGCATTGCCTTTCCTTGGGATTGGAATGAAAACTGACCTTTTTCTGTCCTGTGGCCACTGCTGAGACAACTGTACACTCTGCATTAAGCCAGGTACCTCCAAGGGAGGGAGAGTGGCTATGGGGAGGTCTTACCTTGCCCTTGAACAGGATCACCGGGCAGACAAACCGTCCTCTGCACCTGGCTGTCTTGCTGCGGTTGACGAGGTCCTGCAATTTGCTCACTTGCACGGTGCTCTGAAACCTAACACAAGGCAAGAGAGGTAGGTTAGGCTGCTTGTGCATGAGTACTGTGTAACCCATGCTAGGGGTGTGTGTGTGTAAATATTCATTTCAAATTGAATAAATGCTCAGATTCCTAAATTCTAGATCACAGACATTTTATGCTTTTCAAGAAAAGAAAAAAAAATGCTGGATTATGGGTACTAAAACTGCAATCATCCTGATTTCAAAACCTTTAAGATTAAAACAAAAAAGTGAGCAACTCTGAAGACACGGTACTGAAAATGAAGAAACACAGGGAGCAAACTGAATGTTGATCATGTCCAGGATGCTCGGTTTTTCACCCCAAAAGTTGGACAAATATGTTGGGAACCCTCTGGCAATAATGAGGCCATCTTTGTGATCTTTCACAAAGATGGCAGGATATGATGAAGTTCACATTCCACATGGTTATGAGCCTCTGATACATCATCAACATTTCAACCAACACTAACAGTCTAAAATGTCAAAGGGCAGGGAATGCTGGAACAAAGGTGGTGAAAAAGAAGCTATTCGTGGCCTTGACAAGCATGGAAGTTAACGCACCCAGCTCTGCTAAGGGAGCTTCTAGAACACACACAAAAAGACACATTTAGAAATGAGTTTAAGCAAGTCACACCTATAGCAGACCCTTAAAATAAGGGTCTGCTCTCACAGATTCACCCACTGAGTCTTTTTTTTTTTTTTTCACCCACTGATTCTTAACAAAAGGCTCCACATCAGCCAGTAAGAACTTCTGGTTCCAAGAGAAACAGGAGGCAGGAAGTTCAACAGTGGGAATCTCTCCCGGCTATGCAGAGTAATGGAGGAAAAGGAAGGAAGATAGTCAAGCTCCTTCCTTACAAGGGTTGAGTTTCCAGGCTGAGTCTGAGAGGGTGTCATCCCTCCTACATCCCAGTCCTGCTAGTGTCACTGCATATCATGTGCACACAAATAATTGTTTCAGAAGGAGTAAGTTCAGTGACTCCTAAATACCGCTGGTACCTCTTTAAGCATATCTAAATTCCGTTGGCATAAATAAAAACATAGTCTTCTGAAAACACTGCTGATTTCTTAGTAGCCTTCATAGATATATTCTCAAGCCAGTTACTAACAAAATAACTACTATCAAGTGAGGATTTGAAACTGAAGTTAAAACAAGGTCTCCAAATAAAAACCTGATATATAGTCTAGAAAAATAGTTCTGATGAACCTATTTACAGTGAAGAAATGGAGACACAGACATAGAGAACGATCTGGTGGAAACAGCAGGAAGAAGAGTGTAGGACAAACTGACAAAGCAGCACTGACATATATATACCATGATGTGTAAAATGGATAACAAGCGGGAAGCTGCTGTATAGCACAGCGAGCCCAGCCTGGGACTCTGTGATGATCAAGAGGGGTGGAATGCAGAGGTGAAGAATGGCTCTAGAGAGAGAGGAGATATATATATGTTTGTGCATGCACCTGTGTGAAGTTACTTGTCATGCCCGACTCTTTGTGACCCCATGGACTGTAGCCCACCAGGCTCCTGCAATGGGATTCTCTAGGCAAGAATACTGGAGCACACTGCCATCTCCTCCTCCAGGGTATCTTTCCTACCCAGGGACTGAACCAGCATCTCTTATGCCTCCTGCATTGGCAGGCAGACTTTTTACCACTAGCGCTACCATATATAACTATGACTGATTTGCGCTGATGTAAAGCAAAGACCACCAGAACACTGTAAAGCAATTATTCTCCAATCCAAAAAAAAAGAAAGAAAAAAAAAAAAACAGAAAAATAAGAATCTATAACTGAAATAAAAAATACAGTAGAGAGAATAAATACCAAATTAGATGATACAGAAGAACAGATGAGCAATCTGAAAGATGGTAAAATAAAAATCACCCAATGAGAACAGCAAGAAAAATTTTTTAATGAGAGGAACTTAAGAGACCCTTAAGACAACATCAAATGTGCTAACATTTGCATTATATGGGTCTCAGAAAGAGAAGAGAGACAGGGAGAGAAAAATTATTTGAAGAAATAACCACTGAAAAATCCTCTTATCTGAGGATACAGGTTAGAGAAAGCAGGTACAGGAAGCATAAAAAATAATAATAATAAAAAAATAACTTGACTCAGCAGTTTGGTGATTGTAGAAAGAAAACAAGAGGATAAAGAAAGAGGACTTAAATTTTCCATGGTGTATGTTTCTGCAAGGTATGATTTAAGACTTTTTGCCCATTTTTACTAAGCATTTTAAGTCACAAATTTATTACATCTTTACTATAATTCAAATAGAGAAGTGACTACATAAGACTTTTTTCCCCTTTTCTTTCTGTTTTTGGCTGCACTGTGCAGCATGCAGGATCTTAGCTCCCTGACCAGGGATTAAAACTGTGTCCCCTGCAGTGGAAGCTCAGAGTTTTAACCACTGGACCACAAGGGAAGTCCCCATGTTATTTTTACGACCAAGATTTTTTTCTTTTCTGAAGGAAGGAAGAAGGCTGGAGTGCCTCCTCACGGTATGTACAGAGTGCTGAGCTTAGCTGCTCAGTCATCTCTGATTCTGCGACCACATGTACTGAATCCCGCCAGGCTCCCCTGTCCATGGAGATTCTCCAGGCAAGAATACTGGAGTGGGGTACCATACCTTCCTCCAGGGGATCTTCCCAACCCAGGGATGGAACCCAGGTCACCGCACTGCAGGTGGATTCTTTACCATCTGAGCCATGAGGGAAGCCCAAGAATACTGGAGGGGGTAGCCTGTCCCTTTCCCAGGGGATCTTTCTGACCCGGGAATCAAACCGGGGTCTCCTGCATTGCAGGAAGACTCTTTACCAGCTGAGCTACCAGGGAAGCTGGCACAGGCCAATCAGTCAGGCCCTAGAAAAAACATGGCTCACTGGAAACCAAGTTCTACCACCTTCCCCTCACTCTGTGAAATAAAAAGTCAACTGAGTACAAAATAATTGCCTAATTAAACTCAGATGCCAACAGAATATAAAAAAAATACACATAATACTGCTTACATTAGTCTTCCTTCCACCTTTTGGTGGCCCCAGGTCATTTGCACAGATGAGGTCAGCACTATCTGCTGAGTTTAAAAAAAAAAATTATTTTTATTTATCTGACTGAATCAGGTCTTAATTGAGGTATGTGGGATCTTTAGTTATGGCATGCAAAACCTAGTTCCCTGACCAGGGATTGAACCCAGGCCCTCTGCACTGGGAGCCCAGAAGTCCCAGCACCTTCTGCTTTAACTGACTCTGAGCTCACACCAGCAGCTCTAAATGCCTTGAAACTGCATTTGAGTCTCCCAGGCTGAATACTTCCATTCAACAAATGCTCCACAAAACCAAAGGAGAGAACATGCCAGCACTTCTATCCTCAGGGCTCTGGGCAGTCTTATGTGGAGGAAGGCACACTTTTTTCATTAGGCTAGCTGGTGCTTTATTGTCCTGTGTCCCCTACTCAAAGAACCAATTCAGTTTCTGTTCTCAGTGGTTCCTGTTTTTATTTTTATTATTTCCTGGCCTTAGAATCTTCCTCTTACCGTGCTAAGCACTGGGCTGTGTCTGACACATGATACTCATATTTGAAGGAATGAAAGTGGGCTACATATTTATGTTTGTCTTGTGGGACTGAGCCCTTAACCTGTAGATCTGAAGCTATCTCTGGGTAGATGGTGTCAAGAGTTCAGTTGAACTGTAGAACATACAGCTGGTGTCTGAAAATCAGCAGTATGAGGGAAGCCCCCTACCCTATGCTTACACACCAGTGGGAATTATCAAGTGCAGAATTTTAACTCTGTCTCCCAATGCCTCACCTACACTTGCCCTAATTCTGGCCTTTGTTACAATGGCATTGCTCACTTATTGGTCTGTGTTACCCACCAGACCTAAAGGTAAGGATTTCATCTCTCTGGTAGGGTCTCCAACTAGATTCCCGAGATGTGTCCCATGGCAGTAGTTTGTCTTACTGACAAACACGTCTTGGCCATTCAGAGAGCACCATCCAGGCTTCTATTCCCAGACGATGGGCAAAACTGGGGAGGTGGGTTAATAGAACCAAACCACTTCCTAAATCTAGTTCTACCTTGTGCAACTCAGTCTAACTTAGTGTCATATTAACACCAAATTCAGGCATGTAAAGAAGCAAAAAGTTCTATTTCTTCTCACCTACACATGCACATATTCCCTTCTCTTCAACAGACATGGCCCACTTAGTATCACTTTGAGGCTTTGCAAGAAGTGAAAAGTAAAAACAGACTGTAACTCCTCTAGGGTTAGCGATATACTGTGGTGGTCCTGGCCTGGAAGGTGACTCTGCTAGGCAAAGTGGGAGCTTCCTGGCAGTGATAGAAAGAAAAGGCAGGCATACAAGTGCTATGATCTACATATAATTAATCCCCCCAATATGTTCCTTTTTCTCAGGGAATCCACCTCAACCTGGTTAGAGGGCACACTTACACATCTCCCATCTTACACAGGAGCAAACTTCTCTATGTGAAAGCCCTCTCTGGCTCCCTGTGGTTCCAGGCTATAGCAAAGGACTCATCTAGGAAGCTCTCTGTGATGTAGAAATTCTGATTTAGGGCCCCTGAAATCTGTGATTTCAGTGAGTGCTCAGAGGGTACTAGCCCAATAACCACTAACACCCACAAGTCTATACTCCTTGGACCAGTGATCAAGACCCCATACAAGCTAGTCCCTAACTAAGGACATTTAAGGGACATTCCTACTTGTCTGTCCAATTCCAGCTGAAAGGCATCTCCACCATAGGGTCTCCCCAAACACTCACACAACAGGCAGGATCTACCCTTCTCCTCAATTTGTCTGCAGCAGCACTTCTCCAACCTCTATGTATGTATGGGCCGTACTGTTATGCTGCGATTTTGATTCAGTGGCTCTGGAGCCCAGGACTCAGAATATCTAGCCAGTGAGCTCTGAGCAGTGCTGTGAGCAATGATGGCCTGCTGCACCCCGGAGAATGACTCTACTGTAGCCTTCAAGAGTTCAGTTGAACTGTAGAACATACAGCTGGTGTCTGAAAATCAGCAGTATGAGGGAAGCCCCCTACCCTATGCTTACACACCAGTGGGAATTATCAAGTGCAGAATTTTAACTCTGTCTCCCAATGCCTCACCTACACTTGCCCTAATTCTGGCCTTTGTTACAATGGCATTGCTCACTTATTGGTCTGTGTTACCCACCAGACCTAAAGGTAAGGATTTCATCTCTCTGGTAGGGTCTCCAACTAGATCCCCGAGATGTGTCCCATGGCAGTAGTTTGTCTTACTGACAAACACGTCTTGGCCATTCAGAGAGCACCATCCAGGCTTCTATTCCCAGACGATGGGCAAAACTGGGGAGGTGGGTTAATAGAACCAAACCACTTCCTAAATCTAGTTCTACCTTGTGCAACTCAGTCTAACTTAGTGTCATATTAACACCAAATTCAGGCATGTAAAGAAGCAAAAAGTTCTATTTCTTCTCACCTACACATGCACATATTCCCTTCTCTTCAACAGACATGGCCCACTTAGTATCACTTTGAGGCTTTGCAAGAAGTGAAAAGTAAAAACAGACTGTAACTCCTCTAGGGTTAGCGATATACTGTGGTGGTCCTGGCCTGGAAGGTGACTCTGCTAGGCAAAGTGGGAGCTTCCTGGCAGTGATAGAAAGAAAAGGCAGGCATACAAGTGCTATGATCTACATATAATTAATCCCCCCAATATGTTCCTTTTTCTCAGGGAATCCACCTCAACCTGGTTAGAGGGCACACTTACACATCTCCCATCTTACACAGGAGCAAACTTCTCTATGTGAAAGCCCTCTCTGGCTCCCGGTGGTTCCAGGCTATAGCAAAGGACTCATCTAGGAAGCTCTCTGTGATGTAGAAATTCTGATTTAGGGCCCCTGAAATCTGTGATTTCAGTGAGTGCTCAGAGGGTACTAGCCCAATAACCACTAACACCCACAAGTCTATACTCCTTGGACCAGTGATCAAGACCCCATACAAGCTAGTCCCTAACTAAGGACATTTAAGGGACATTCCTACTTGTCTGTCCAATTCCAGCTGAAAGGCATCTCCACCATAGGGTCTCCCCAAACACTCACACAACAGGCAGGATCTACCCTTCTCCTCAATTTGTCTGCAGCAGCACTTCTCCAACCTCTATGTATGTATGGGCCGTACTGTTATGCTGCGATTTTGATTCAGTGGCTCTGGAGCCCAGGACTCAGAATATCTAGCCAGTGAGCTCTGAGCAGTGCTGTGAGCAATGATGGCCTGCTGCACCCCGGAGAATGACTCTACTGTAGCCTTTCTCATAACAGCGCTTCCCTGGGGCCAGGGTTTCAGATATTGTTGGCAACACCTCCTGGAATTCCCTTAAAATCAACACAAGCAGGAAGTCTAGCAGAACAAACTTTGAGATTAACATGAAGCACTTCCTAGAGTCTTATAAGCCTCTTATAAATACTTATTATTACTTATAAGCCTTATAAGTAATGAGCCTGATTACTTATCAGTGTCCAACAACTGCTACCGTTTACTTGCTGCCCACGGGCTGCATCCTGTGCTGGGTGCTCTGTGTCACTAGTACCTGGTGAACTGTTACCTTAGGGAAAAGCACCCGGGCTTTGGTAGGTCCTCAATAAATAGTTGGAGAAGGCAATGGCACCCCAGTCCAGTACTCTTGCCTGGAAAATCCCATGGACAGAGGAGCCTGGTAGGCTGCAGTCCACGGTGTCACTAAGAGTCGGACACAACTGAGCGACTTCACTTTCACTTTTCACTTTCATGCATTGGAGAAGGAAATGGCAACCTACTCTAGTGTTCCTGCCTGGAGAATCCCAGGGACGGGGGAGCCTGGTGGGCTGCCGCCTATGGGGTCACACAGCGTCAGACACGACTGAAGCGACTTGGCAGCCGCAGCAATAAATAGTAGCACTTATTTCTAACTCTTAGAGCACACACATCACGCTTGGAATAGTCCCATTTATCAGCGGGGATTGCACTAGCCACTTTTTGAAACAGAGGTAGAGACTGATAAGGAAACTGAGAGCCAAAGCAGTTAAACAACTTGCCCAAGTTAGTGATGCAGCCAGCAAGTACACTGACCTCAGGCTTTGAAGCTCTATACACGTACGTGTGCACGTCCACAAAGCTTACCTCCCACTGACTCTTAAACAAAGGAAACACTGAGATTCAGGGAGGGGAGGCGTGAGGTCAGCTGTATTAGGACAATGAGCAATAGGGTGAGAGTAAAACAAGAGTCCAGGACCATGACTTCCAGCTCCTTCTTCTACGCTGTGCTATCAGGATGCCAACAAGGCTTAACATCTGGGAAAAGAGAGTCTGCCGTGCCCAACAACAGACTTTCCTGACCCTGGGGATGAGATGTTAAGGCCTTCCCAGAAGGGCACGCCTTGGTGACATGATGCTCACGTGTCTTTCTCCTTCTCAGAACTCTCATACTCCAGGAACACGATGTGCTGTGGGTAGTGGCCGCAGATATCCCCGTTCACGTTCTGAATCACGCTGTAACAGTAGTCTCGGCCAAACAGCTCCAGACACCTCTTCTCAATGCGCTCAACCTGCACAGACGAGGAGATATGAACGTAAGAAGATTCTACGATTGAGTATTAGGCGGGTCCTGCCTTGGAGAAATCTCTGGGGATAACCGTGTGCCTCTATAATTCAATACAAGGAACAGACCTGTTGTTAGGTCATAGGCCCTAAACGTGCAGTTCATGAACTCATGTAATAAACTTTGGTGGGGGCAGGGAGGGACTCTGAAGCCCTCAATGTTGTTGAAACTGTGTTTCTTAGGCATCCAAAGAGAGGACTACACCTTTCATGAGATTCTCAAAGGGGTCCACAATCCCTAAGTATTAAGAACCTTTGCTCTAGGTTATTTTAACCAGCATCAATACATTATCTTCCTTTGGCTCCAGATGCTTCTCAATTCTCCATTCACAGAACAGTACCTAGAAGCTCTAAATAGTGTCATGACTAGAAGCTGCAGACAAAGGTGTCTCCTTACAATTTGCTTATGAAATAGAAGGAACAGCTCCCTTGAAACTGCTCTTATTTTGCTCAATTCGGGAAAGGCCCCCTAGAAAAAGGACATAAAACCTGTAACATCTCAACAAGCCTGCAAAAGGTCAGAAAGTTTAAGGCCAGCTGGAGTGAAAGTCAGACATAACTTTTTACAACACTGATCTACATGGGTGTGTAAAATGAAAAGAGGCCCAGGAAAACCACTGACCCTGTAACCACCCAAAAGACCGATGGGGTAGGAAAAACTCACAGGAATGAGGAAACCTCAAATTTCAAGGGACATGAACATCATTAAGAAGCCTATTAAAAATTACAAATTCCAGGTTCCTAACCTCAGAAATTCTAACTCAGTAGGACTGGGTGGGACCAAGGAACCTTTATTTTTAATAAACATCCCAGGTGATGCTGATGGTATGGAGCCAGACCAGAGTTTCATGGCCCTGCATGGAAGAGAATTCCATTGGAAAACCTGATGTTACACCTGCCAAAACCACGTGAGGAATGAAAGATGGTAGAGTCAGCAAGATTCCCATCAGACTGCCAGGCAGTGCCTAAGATGGAAATGGNCTCTTGTTAGCCTTTGCCCTGCTTCATTCTGTACTCCAAGGCCAAATTTACCTGTTACTCCAGGTATTTCTTGACTCCCTACTTTTGCATTCCAGTCCCCTATAATAAAAAGGATATCTTTTTAGGGTGTTAGTTCTAGAAAGTCTTGCAGGTCTTCATAGGACCGTTCAACTTCAGCTTCTTCAGCATTACTGGTCGGGGCATAGGCTTGGATTACTGTGATATTGAATGGTTTGCCTTGGAAGTGAACAGGGATCATTCTGTTGTTTTTGACATTGCATCCAAGTACTGCATTTTGGACTCTTTTGTTGACTATGATGGCTACTCCATTTCTTCTAAGGAACTCTTGCCCACAGTAGTCCTGTTTAAAAAAATGATTAAGGGGCATTCCTTGGTGGCCTAGTGCTTAGGATTCCATGTTTTCACTGCCATTGCCCAAGTTTACTCCCTAGTCTAGGAGCTGAGATCCCACAAGTTAAGCAGCAGGTCAAAAAAAAAAAAAAATTAAGGAAGAAAATGTAGGTGTTAAACATACTTTAATTCTTAATGAAGTGACCAGTGTTTTGTCCCAAGGATCTAAAAAACTGCAAGATCAGGCTGAAACTAAAGAACAAGGAACAAGGAAGAGAAAAATAGAAAATGAATTAAAAACCATGAAGTAAGTATAGAGCCCAGGGCTGGCTTAGTGTTTGGGGACTGGCTGAACAGATATACTACGTTTCTGGTCAAGCGGCACACTAATAGAGACACCAAAGTTACTAAGTTTTGGTTTGTTGCTCTGGCACCCTGGGCAGGAGTGGTTCCAATCTTTGTCCTACAAATTTATTTCAGTGTTAGTTGCTCAGCTGTGTCTGACTCTTTGTGACCCCATGGACTGTAGCCCGCCAGACTCCTCTGTCCATGGGATTCTCCAGGCAAGAATACTGGAGTAGGTTGCCATTCCCTTCTCCAGGAGATCTTCCTGATCCAGGGATGCAACTCGGGTTTCCTGCATTGCAGGTAGATTCTTTATCATCTGAGCCACCAGGTAAGTAATTCTCCCTTTTATCGTCCTCTTGACCATTCACAAGGTTTGGTCAAAAATATCAATACTGTCTACGGCCATACCACCCTGAACGTGCCCGATCTCGTCTGATCTTGGAAAAATATCAGTGCTGGACTTCCCTGGTGGTTCAGTGGTTAAGAGTCTGCCTGCCAGTGTGGGAGACATGGGTTTGATCCCTGGTCCAAGAAGATCTCGTGTGCTGCAGGGCAACTAAGCCCACGGCCACAACTACTGAGCCCACATGTCCTAGAGCTCGTGCTTTGCAACAGGAGAAGCCACCGTGATAAGAAGCCCACGCATCACAGCTCCAGTGCAGCCCTGGTTCACTGCAACTAGAGAAAGCCCATGCATAGCAATGAAGATCCGGGGCAGTCAAAAATTAAATAAATAAGCAATTTTTTAAAAGTGCCAGTACTAACATGACCCTCAGTCACCATTGCCTCTTCTGTTCTCAGTGTAGTAGTCACAAGAGATGATGTCAAGTGATGTCTTGGAGCTGGTTCCGTTCCTCTGTTCTCTTTTCGTCCTTTCAGTCAGAGAGAAACCATCTGTTGGCTGATGAAACCATCAGCGGCTCCCTACATGCATTTAAAACTTTGGGAGACCCCACATTATTAGGGAGGCAATAATAATTACTAGAAACAAAACAATAGTCATGGTTTGGAGAGTACTCCAGAGCCAGGGTCCCCATGATCCAATCCAGCTAAAAAATTGGGGACATCTTTAAACCAGTTGACTTGTTTATATATTTTGTGTAATTATGTCCCCCTTCCCCAGAAATGTTTATGCAGTGAGCTTGTTCCAGAGAAACAGAGGTGTTGGAAACCAGAGAGAAGTTTATGATAGCCAGAAAGGACAAGATCACCAGCATCAAAGCCAGTCCAAGAGTCAGTTTACCCTTCTTTGTAATGACCTGAGACGTGTGAACAAGTATCGTTTCAGGCTAGAGCAAGGCAAAAGGTGGGGAGTAGAATCATGTAAGAATTTGAAAAAGGATGGTCAGAGAAGAAAGGAGGAATGGAAAGAAACGTTCTTGATCTAACTTCTTGGAAGAAAGCAGTCTACCTCAGTGTTGCCTGCTTCTCTCCGTAGTCAACTGGATTTTGAGGTCTCCACATTTACACAGGGCCGGGTGTTAGGTGGGGTCTTCTTCAGTTGTGAAACACTGTGCATTCAAGTTGTGACACCCTGTAATTCAACAGTGATGATAGAGGTCAAGAACCCTCCATAAGGTCCTCTCCAGGAATTTCATCTTTACAAAAGCAACAAAGTAAAAAGGTAACTGTCTATAAATGACAAAGGGCTGTAAAATGCCCATGACTGAAGATCTGATGAGTTCATTACAATGGAATAAACAAAGAAATTTGGTTATTTCTGTGACACCCAATATTTTTAAGATAATAACTGGAATGATGGCTGATAACTTTATAGAAGGCATATCAGATTTATAGAAAGTTTATAATTCCTGGAACACTTAGGCTAATAATGTACTCCTACAAAGATAAGCTAAATATCACTTGGAGTGTTTCCTTTGTAATTTAACATATCAAATAAGCCTAATTAGCTTAACATTTTTCTTTTTACAAGGACAGAGAATAAACATTCTAGGGGTTCTTTGGAAAATCCCAGAGTTGGTTTCAGGTAAAAAAAAAATTAATTTATAATTTGATTTTGGGTAAGTTTGTTGAAAATATTCATGTAACCAAAGTAACATGTAAAGACTTTGAAGGCAACCATAGAAAGTTACAGGGTTGTAAAAACCCCAAACCCTTAGTCTTTTAAGATTCAGGGTTTGTTATTTGCATATTAACTGTCTTAAAAAATATGACTAGGCTTTTGTGTGTGTCTCGGCAGCACATATACTAAAATTAAAATGATACAGAGAAGATTAGCATGGCCCTTGTGCAAGGATGATATGCAAATTCGTGAAGCATTCCATATTTTTCTTCCTGATGTTTGACAGAAAACAACAAAATTCTGTAAAGCAATTGTCCTTCAATTAAAAAACAAAGTGGCAAGCCGCCTGAAAAAAAAAAGATTTATTAAAAAAAATATGACCAGGCTTTTGAGAAAAAATAAAACTGCTAATAATCTTGAAAACCTCCACATATCAAAAGTGTTTATTTTTTGGCATTATATATAATTTTAGAGTTCTTTCTCTCCATCAAAAGCATAGTCTAAAATAATTGGCCTCTAGTGCCTATCATTCTTTAATAATTTTGCAGTGCTGTTGTTAAAAATTGTCAAATTTAAGTATGATAACTCTAGTGACTAAAATGTTATAATCTAAGTACACATTATAAATAAAACAGCATTTAGCAATAAGTTAAAATTTTTTGTACAATTGGCAAAAGGGGGGTGGATGGTATTAAGTTCCAATTACATTATAGAATAGGATAATGAATTTTTTTGTGGTTTGATAAAGAAAAGTTACTTTTTATTTTGATAACTTCATTGAATTGTCATGCAAATTGCAAAAATAAAAATCAAATGGAAAAGCCCTCTTGTAGCTGGTAAGACAGTGCTGGTTTGGTTCAATAAGCAATGGGCTCCATGTCTGATTTTATTTGAGCCTAATAAAATTTTTCATTGAAAAAAAAATTCAGAGTTTCCTTAAGATAAAGAAGTACAGTAAATTATTTTGGTAACACACAAAATCTTTGCTTTCCAGACTGCTTTCCTTTTATAAAGATGTTCCTTATATTATTTCCAGTAATTTTAATTATGTATATGTTTTAGCATTCTTAATTCCTATTGAAAACTAAGAAGTAAGCAATCTATTACATTAGTATTTTGTGGACTGTAAACTTAAAAATACATTTCACATTTTCTGGAAGTTTATTCTTCCTCATGGTAAATTTTTCACTGTGGCACAAAACACATTTATTAACAGAAACAAATATCTTTAGTTCCTCTGTAAAGGAAGCCAAAGTGGATAAACCTATGTTCAGAAGTTAATGTTTCAGTATTTTATCATATTTGGAAATGATCTAGATAGTCAGTGAATATCTATAACTTATCTCAGTATAGCTTCAGGGTTTCAAATTGTCAAAAAGATTTTGGAAACTGTTTTTAAGTAGACATACCATTGCTGTTTAGTCACTAAGTCGTGTCCAACTCTTTTGTGACCGTATGGACTATAGCCTTCCAGGGTACTCTGTCCATGCGACTTCCCAAGCAAGAATACTGGAGTGGGTTGCCTTTCCCTTCTTCAGGGACTCTTCCATACTCAGAGATCAAACCCACATCTCCTGCAATGGCTGGAAAATTCTTTACCATTGAACCATCAAAGATGCCAAACCTACCATAAAGCATAATTATTGTTGAAAAGTTCATTTGTAGGGACTTCCCTGGCAGTCCAGTGGTTAGGACTCTTATTGCCCTGGCTGGGGTTCAATCCTTGATCAGGGAAACTAAATCCTGTAAGCGGAGCTGCACAGCCAAAAAAGAAAAAAAGAGAAAAGAAAAAGTTCATTTGTAAGCTTTTACTTACATCTATTTAATTTTCTTGTTTTTAACAATTATATTTGGATTATTCATGAAAATTTCATGAAACATTAAACTGACCATCATCTTTGGTTATCTTTTTGGCTAACAAAAGCTGTAACGGGTGACAGGCGCTTATTTGACTTTTAGTAATCCTATGTAGAATAAAAGTTGTATGTCTGAGTTGTATTTATTGCGAATAACTCTAAATACATGTCTGTTTTAAATAAACCAGCAAATTTAAACTAGCTTCCCCCGTCAGGATTACCCTAGGTCATGTGACCTTGAGAAATACTTGAATTAGTTTCTATATTTCTGAGAATATATTTTATTTATATAAATATTTAATTTCTTTAAGCCAATTAAATAGAAGTGAAGTGAAGTGACAGTCGCTCAGTTGTGTCCTACTCTTTGCAACCCCATGGACTGGGGCCTGTCCATGGGATTCTCCAGGCAAGAATACTGGAGTGGGTTGCCATTCCCTTCTCCAGGGGATCTTCCTAACCCAGGGATCAAACCCGAGTCTCCTGCATTGTAGATTGTTTACCATCTGAGCTACAAGGGAAGCCCCAATTAAATAGAACTCTTTACAAACAAATTTTGGAAATACCATCAGAAGGTAGAAAAATTATCACACACCTGTAATACACATATAAATATATACACACAGAACAGAAGCAAACTTCTATTTAAAATTTTAGCCAAGAAACAGGTGCAGATTCAAATTATGTTTCAAACAGATGAAATAAGTTAAGCTGACCTGTTCAGATGCCTTAAATTTTTTAGTAGTATTTATGAGAAAAACTCTCAAGACTTTTCATTTTTCTAGCTTCCAAATAGCCTTTCCCTTTTTCTCTCTTTCTGATAAGAATTTCCTCCTTGAAGTTTGCGTTTTGCACTCTGTTATACCAGTATTTTGTGGATTGGCAAATTTACAAATTTAACTACCTAGAAAAGAGCAGTACAACATTTAAATCTCAAAGACAAGGAGAAAGAATGTAAGTTCCTCCAATGAATAGGGCAGGTTTGGGGATTGGTAAAAAGGATGGGTGAGGCTTTTTGTTCTTGTTCTAAATAAACGATGTGCGTGCTAAGTTGCTTCAGTTGTGTCTGACTCTTTGTGACCCTCTATCCATGGGATTCTCTAAGCAAGAATAGTGGAGTGGGTTGCCAGGCCCTCCTCCAGGGGATCTTCCCAACTCAGGATTGAACTCCTGCATTGCAGGCAGGTTCTTTACTACTAGCAGCACCTGGGAAGCAAAATAAAGGACAGTTGTCTTCAATTCCTCCAAAACTTGGGTTGCAACCTGAATGACATCACAGGCTGACCCACCCACCCAACTACTTTATTTGCTTCTTTATATCAGGGATAAGATGTTCAAATAATCAAGAGATTCCAACGTTTTAAATTCAGAGCTGTTTGTCGCGCCCCCCCCCCCCCCCACTGGATACATGGTTTCCTTAGGGGAGAGGGCCCAAAAAGAAGCTCCTAACCAAATCTACATATGAGCTTCCAATCTGGCCAACTTCTAACCATACAGCTACTTAAAAAAAAAAAATCCTTTCAAATATCT